GGAATTCTACAAAACTAGTCTGGCTCACAGACACACCCCCAATGGAAGAACAGACCATTCCTAGCTTTTACTTGTCGTTAAACAAATGTTTAAACAACTCTATTCAATTAAATACTAGAATAATTGTGCAATTTTTGTATAACAAGAAATGCATTGATTAAAACAAAGATTTTAAAAATTGTATTGTTACACATATATACACATATATATATATATACATACACACACATACATATATATATATATACATACACAGACATATATATATATACATACATATACAGTATACTTTTCCATATCTACTGATGTGACATATCTATTATTATAAAATGGATTTTAATTTTGAATTAAATAACTCTAAATGGTACTTCAAATACTACAGTTTACTTATATTATGACATTAAACAGTTCCCAATGCTTTTGCTAAAAATTAGAGCTTTAATTCCTCTTTAGACTCCCTTATGTATGCTATTTGTAATTTTTTAAGCTTGTACAGCTCATATTCCTGCAAACTTTAACTTGGTTTCTCTGTTGTTAAAGCACAATTACATCAGTCACCATGTGTGAATTAACTACTTTTTACATATTTTCCACATTGTAATTAGTATTCTATTGACACTTCTGTAGCTTCTTTGTGTGTGTACTGGGTGTTGCAAATGTATATATTCAGTCTCTTTATACTTTTTTCACTACAGTTTCCAAAACTTGGTTAGATGAAGAAACATTTGTATTTCATTACAAAATGGGAATTATCAACCAAGAGTCTTCAAATAACTAAAAAATTTAATAGCCTAAACATTATAACATTGATTTTAACTATATACTCTTCTTTTTCCCTTGACCTAATCAGATTTGTTTTTTGTTAAATATTTTTTGTTGAGAACTGTGTTTTCACTGGTCTTTTTTAAACATGTGCATTGTCTTCCTGTGTTTTTTCTTCATCTTGCAGAATGCTGTCATTATTAATATATTAAATGGACAACTAGCTGTTCCATCTCTTTTTGTTGTTATTAGCATTCTCATATTAACAATGTTTTTTGGTAATAATGGCACTATATGGAATTTGTAGGAGTAATAAAGATTGAAGTAAGACTAAAGAAATCCAGTCTTTATACAAGGTTTGATAAACTCAAGCATTGGAATAGTAGAAGTGACTGCTGTAGTGAAATCCATGACAAGTGAATTAACATAACAGTGTTTAGTGAGAAAAAGGGACCTATTGGTCAATCTCAGCTATCCCATCGTCTAAACTAAACTAAAACTATAAACTAACTAAAATAAAAATTTTAAAGCCAGCCCTTATCATTACAGGACAGACAGAAGGTTTTTCACTAATAGAAAAAACCGAAAGTGAAATTTCATCACAGGCCAAGTAGGACTGTTATGTTGAAGTATTAAAAATGGATTTTCTTTCCTATTTACACTGAAAAGCAAATACATGAAGTGTAAGACAGGTTTTGTTAGTCTAGTGTTCTTGTTCAATTACAGAATCCTGCCTCAGATGGTGTTGTCTTCTGGTAAACTTGAACACCTTGTACTACTATTCTGGCCCTGTAAGGATCAGACAGTTGGGTATACATTCCTTACACAGCTAACCCCAGGGGTAATGTTTAATAGTACAGTTTCATCTCTCTTGCACGTGGTCATTATTTGTGAACTCGTTGCACTATACGAGTTGGGACAGATTGCCTCAAGTTTGGTCTGCCATATCTTCTAGGTGTTTTCTACTGTAAGATGTGGACATTGTTCTTAAGTCTTCTCATTTCTGGATAATTTCTACGAGTAATGACAGTGTCTCATCACTGAATCTTTATATGCTCAGTATGTTGTCATAGGGGATATAGTAGGTGGAGTTTGGTTGTAGTAGATCACATCTCTTCGCAGTAGCACAGGCTAATATCATCATTTGCAGCCACATGGTCTCTCTGAAATTTGGAGGATATTTTTACAATTACAGTGAGATTATAAGATACACTTCTGCCATGTCGTCCTACCCTCCTTCCATCATCAGTGGATGCTAAAAAAATTACCTGTTAATGATTCAATAAGTACATTATGAAAACTAACTAAAAGTAGCACAATCTAACTTCTACAAGTTACCAGAAAAATAAGTTATACAATTGATGGATTGTAAGAAGTGGAGAAATGAGTAAAAAGTTTTAACAAAACTAAATGAAATAGTTTAAAATTATGGTAGCTGTACCCTGTAATTATCTTTGTGAATTTGACAGCAGTCTTAATGTTACTTTTAAATTCAAAATATTGATTTTACTTGGGAAGAAAGAGGATGTGATGAATGTAAACTATTTTCTTGCAATATTGTTACAAAGTTAATAATGATATAAATATGCTTAATTTTCTTTAAACCAAATTCAAAATTTCGAAGAGTCAAAATTATGATAGCTTACAATTTTCATAGAACTGGCAAGTAAGTTTTACATATGTAATTTCATAAAGAAATTACAGAAACAATTTGCATATATTGTGGTAACTTTGAATATTCATTAGGTTTGTGTTTTATTTAGGTGAGAATAATGTTGTTTATGGAAAAGATCTTTGCCATCGTGCTGACTTAGCCCCCAAGTGGCTCAACAGTAAGTCTGAGGGGTCACACCACTAAAAACCAGGTTTCAATACTCATGGTGGGCCCATTGTGTAGCTTTATGCTTAACAACAAACATGCTGCCTTAATAACAATGAATTTATTTTTTATGTATTCGTGCTAATGTTTTTGCCTATCTTATCAGAATTAACAAGAAACTTAAATAGTCTGTATAGCACATTTTTAATATATATTTATCAGAAATGTTTATATAAAAACAAAAAGTCTAAACGCTTTCAATTAAACCACTATATATGAACAATTATGTTTTCTCTTTGGTATAACTCTACAGTTTTTCTTAGTTTGAACTTATTAATTTCTCTTCCTTTACTATGTAGTGCAGTTAAGAAGAACTCTGTACAGCGACTGAAATCTTTGGCATTAGCTGGTGCTAACCTTAATGAACATGATGGTTGCAGAAGGACGGCTCTCCATGTTGTGAGTATAATAAGTAGTATATACTCTGAGCATAAGGCTGCTAAAAAAGTTTTACTGATAACAATATGACCAAACCATATGAACTTTACTATGTAAACTTTTCTTTTAGTTTATTAATGTACAGTTTTCATGTTATTTATTAATTTTCTTTGGGTTTAATATTCTGTGTCTTTCTTGTGTTTTTTTTTCTCTGTACTAAAACATTACAGATTTTTCTATCATAGCATGGGCTAAGAATCTTGCATGATATATAGTGAGTTACATGTTCTTTCAGGCAGTGGAAATGGACCATGAAGACTGTGTAAAGTATCTTCTTGAAGCTGGCATTCAGACAGAATGTGCTGACATCTATGAACATACACCACTAGACATTGCTAATATATTAAAAAGACATAAAATTAAAGAACTGTTAGAACAACATTTAAAAGATGGTTACAGAAAAAGATAGTATCATGATTTAAATATAGATTTTTGGTAAAATGTAGTACAAAAAACATTGTTAAATGGTGATGTAGATGCCCGAGTATAAGTAATTACCTTGGTTTTATATGAAGCTGATCATGATACAAATGTAGTAATGGCAGTTATATTACAAATTTATCTTACAATTTTTATTTTGGTAACTGTATTTGTATCTTTAATTCAGGTGTTTAACTCTTTTCATAAATTCTCATACAGTTGATAAAGTGGTATGCACAAGATATTTAAGAAAAAAATATGCTTACATATCTCACCCTTATTTTCCTCTTTAATCACAGGACTCTCATTAAAGAAGTGCATTCAGTACCTAACTAAAAATTTAAAAAAAACATAATTTGAAGCATTTTTAATATTAGAAAAAAATCTTTTGATTTTACCCAAATATTCAGTTTAATGAGAAAACAGATTGTTCTCACAAAGTTCTTTGATGACAAAACACTTGTCATGTTAATGCACTGTAATTATTTGTGTTACAAGAAAAATGCCACACATGTCAATAGATTGCCTTTAAATGGTTACACACTCAGGGACTTTTGTGTGAATTTAAAGTAGGTGAGAAAAAGTAAATCAGTATTGAATTACACTGGGAAAATGTTTGATGTGACATTACTTTTTGATAAAACTTTGAAAATATCTTTAATGCAAAGTAAATTTGCCATTATCATGCTCAAGTGTTTGTTTCAGATATTCACACAAGGGCTACTTACACTAGCTGTCCCTAACCTTGAACTGATAACAAGAAGAGCTACTCTTAATTGAACAGATTATTTGACTGCCACTATTATAATGCACCCACAAACTAAAGTGTAGAGAAAAACGTTTATTTTCAAAAACTTAAGCTCTCATTCCTACAGTCTGGCATGCTAACCAATGGGCCCAATAATGTGAGCATACAGAATAAAATTTCTGTTTTGTTTTTTTTAAAAACACCAAATTTACTGTCAGTGTTAAATAAACTTTCTCTTTAGTTGTGGTGAAAAATATATTTCTAATTTAAAATAAATACATTATTTTTAGTAATTTCAATTAAATTTGACATTTAAGGTATGACAGGTTTCTTTTATTGTATGGTTTTGCAAAAATATAAAATGCACAATTTGACTTACTAAAAGGGGTTTTATTAGTGTAAATATAAATACATATTTTTAAATAACTTTGTTATATCATACAATAAAACTGCAATTTCTGTGAATTTTATTTGTTTAGTCTTCTAGAAATGATGCCGATTATTTTAGTACATTGTTACTTCAAAAGCTTAAAGGATTTATATGAGATTTTAAACTATGCGTTGGGAAAAACATTATGTATTTTTTTAAACTATCAACAGAAATCTGGTAGCAGAGTTTGGCCTACAATTGCTTTGAATTCAGAAAATATCTGGTTGATTTTCTGAGTATGAATTTAAAAATGCGCACTTAAACATAATCTCGTCGTTTTAAGAAAATGCATTTGTTTATATGAAGCCTATAAAATCATACGTGGTCTCCACATAAAAAATGACACTTTTTTTTTCTGTACGTATCATTTGGTTGTAGCACAATTTCATATGCAGGATGAAAAATAAAACTTTAAAGTATTTAGAAATTGTAAAGATTGACATTGGCTTCGTTTTTCCACTTGAAACAAAAGTGGCATCTAGGCTTAAGAAGTGGATAATTGCATGATTTCTGTTGCCACCTTTTTCTGCACCATTACCCATCTTTATTTTCCCTTGTACATCAAATCCTATGTAGACCCACTTGTGTAATTTTGCTCAATTTGTGGTCACTTTTCTTACTTTGCACAAGTATTTTAACATGATCGCCATGTTTAAGGAACTCCGGTCTTCTATATGTTGCAGTATTAAAATATATTAAATAAAGCACTGGTTATTTTACCATATAAATGTATTTATTTTAGGTTAAAGACATTTTTCTTATGTTTTGAAGAACTTAAACCTTTTACCTTGTGATCTAACTGAATAGTGATGGATGACAATGAAAAATGAGCCAATCTTTTCTGAATGTCCAAGAGCACTAGGTAGGAACTAACAGTAAGCAATCCCAGGGCCTTCAAAGTACAAAGAAAGTCAGTATAAAATGTACATTTAATGTAGTAATTAGCTTCTTCATAATTCAGAGTAAGTGAAATGGTATATAACTCTGCAGTGAATACAGAATTAGTAGAGGGAATCCCAAGAGCAAGCATAGAGCCACAGAAAAATATAGCAGAGCAAACCAAGTCATAAAAACAGGCTATTTGTCAATAAACATAGCCCAAGAGTTGACGGTGAATGCTGCTAGCCAGTTGCCTTCCCTATGGTCAGTTTAAAATCAGGGTTGGCTACCGATAGCTTTGGCAGTTTGGCTGTAAACAAATAATCAAGCAAACCATATTTTAAAACTCATAAGTGTTTAAGATTGAACATCATATCAATGGGCAAAAGTCATTCACCCAAAACCTTCTAAGCTTACTGCTGTACAGCTTGAAACATGAATTTAATTACTTATGTATGTTACTACCACCCTTACTAGATCCCTGTGCTTGAAAAAGCCATTAGGACAGAAAGCAACTTGTACCCAAATCGTGCCATGTGATGAAAGGCCATACCAATTGTAACAGTAGAGATGCGATTGATGTTTTGGAGAACACATAAACAGCAACAAAATGGTCATGTGGAGTTGGAGAGGTTTCACAAGCTAATCAATTGTGAATACTTTAATCTGATTGAATTGACCAAGTCCCAATTTCATGACCCATCAACAGGATCTTACCTTTGAAAAATGCCCTTGTAAGATCTGCAAAGGTTTCTCTGTTCTTGTTGTTATCCAACCTGAGCTTATAAAATACTGTTACTTTAAAGATAGTGATACATTCAATTCGTTCTAGTTTGGTGGGCAATATTGTTTCTCTTTATTTTAAAAATTAAAGATATCAGCTATTGAGATTAATATCTAACTATAATCATCCTCTTACATGGGGCTTTTCAGCATAAAAAGTAATGGGTGTTGTCACCCTAATTTTATATGGAAACCATATGATATCAGGTTTGGATCCCAGAGACAAGGTTAAAGTACGCACAACATACTTTTGATAATCTAATTATAGTTCACAAGGTTGGGCTGTATGTCATGTGGTTCAGTAATGAAAAAAATAGTCTTTTTTTCCATACAAAATTCAGCCTCACCATGTTTCAAGTTTGATGTACTCTTTCTGGATTCAGAATGACAGTTAAGAGTGATCCACCTGTACTAGGTTGTTTCACTGTTACAAAAGTAATGGGGTGTTGTGCGACGCAGAATAATTAGTGTGGTTTCTTGTACTCAAACAACACAACATGAACAGGCTCACATAAGCTTCAGTCCAGAAGGTGTTCCAGATGCTACATCAATCTTTGATGAGACTTCCAATGAATCAGACAATAACTGAAGATAGAATGTGAACACTATGTACAGAGTATGTGAAGTATGGTATTTTTATGATTGAGAAAATGACAAGAGTTAAATAAATTTTATTATAATTTATGTGGGACACTATGAACATAATACACATACACAAAGAAATCTGATGATAGGGCAAAATGTCCGTCTTAAAGACCTCCATCCGTTGCTTTATTCACTTCTTTCTTGTTAGTTCTATGAAATGACATGGAACTATTCCAGGAGACTGATACCATTAACTAAATAATTCATTCACACATTTTGTAACATACAATAAATTTTAATTTGTCTTTTCATCAAATTTGTATATTTAAATAGCTTTAGCTAAAAATACTGACAAATTCTAGTATATACTTCATATATTCTATCTATAATAACAGACACAATACAATATGTGAAAAAAATATCTCATACTTCATAAAATATACATTTACTGCAGATGTATGCAACAGCATTTTAAAGAACACATTTCTGTAAAGAAGCAATGATGTTATGATCAACTTAAATACCTGACTTTTTAGTGCTGCTTCATGTACATCTGAAATTGTACCATTTTTATAATCCTAATTCACATTCTTCCATGTCTATAGTATATAGCTAACGTCATAATTTTCAATCCAAATAGATAGTTTATTACTTTACATATTCTATTATGAAGAACACTTAAATGACACACTGAACATACATGAAAATATTTTACTCGGCAGTAAAAAAAATCTTCCCATTTAATAGAAACTACTAATCTAGTTTCATCTGAGGTAAATTAATCAGATCTCTTTGTGAAATTAGGACTAATAAAATAAATGGTCACAATTAGGCATGAAAACTCACTTTTACACAGTTTATTGATAAGAAATTCATGTTTTGAAACACAAATGTGCTACTGTAACTGCAGAATGTATGCTTGAACCCAACAACATGAGTACTAACTACTTTATCAGTATTTGGTGTTTTATTTAATATCAACCTTCAAAATACTTCTATAGATATAGCAGGATGGCAAGCATTTTTGGAAATCTATTAAACCAACATTTCAACGTACACATAAAATAAACCTAATCATACCAAGGTCTGCAATAAAGTTGCGCAATAGGTGGACTGCAGAAATTAGGCAATAAACAAAACAGAACTTCTTCAGAAATAACAGTCGCAATGTGCAAAACAAACTATAGGAGCATACGAATTATATCTGAAAGTATAACATTAAAAATAAAGAGGTTTTGAAATCTACTGTACAGATATTACTACTATTAAGTAATACAGTAACAACAATCAAAAATGGAAAATCACATGTACAGTATATACACAAATAGATTATGTGTGGGGGGCAACAAAATACATGTTTAGAGGGGGGTGCACCATAAAAAATTTTGTGCACCACTAATCTACAGTACTAGAAGTCAGGACGATCATCTCAAAGTTTAGATAAAATGTTAGTTGTTAATAGACCACTATTCTGAGAACAAAAGTTTTACTAAACTCTTTCCATATTTCTTAAGATATGAATGTTTAAGTGGAAATATTTTATAGTAGCTGGTATACAAAAAATAAATTAAGGAAAATAAATCCAACAACGTTATCATACAGTAACATCATTTTTGTTAGTACTTCAACTGTTTTTCAGCAAATACTACTTTAAACACTAGAGGCCCAGTTTACAGCCATGTTTAGCATCCACATGCAGCGTGGTAAGCCAAACATCTGTAAAATTAACAGTGAGTAAAGACTTCAGAAGTGGATTTCAGTGGCTCTGTAGCCTTGGCCATACCAGCACCTTTTCCAGGACTGAAAGGTTATTTTTATATATGGTACACAAATTTGTTGTAATTATACATTATTTCTTTCAAAATATGAGGTATTCTGTAAAATACGATGATTCTACACAGAAGTGAGGCTTTATTATGATACAGTATGACTTGTATAGAGTGAGAACAGCATATCTTCTGATAAATGCTTTTTTTTTAAATACTTAGATTATACTGCATCCTGTATTGCTTGACCATTTCCTATTGAAGTCAGGCTATATTTTGGTAAAATATAAGCTGAGTTAAGACTGTTTTATTGAACTTATTACTTCATTCACGACAGGCAAATCATGTTATACACTGGCTAGGTAATATTATTATTTGGTTATGTTTCGATATAAATCAATATAAAGATTGTTTTCCCTTACAGTTTGAGAATCAATCAACAATAAAATAAAGGTAGTAGAATTCTACTCTTTCATACCGAGTTCCTACAATATTATAGTGAATTATGACCATTACATCGATTTTGGCACATAGCAAAAACATGAATGGCTGCTAACTGTTTTCAAATAATGTCAATTGAATTTCTTCATATATCTTCTGCAGACAATCACACCTTGGAAGTGAGTTCTAAAAACAAATACATAAAAAAATGTTTAAGTATAGAGTAATGTTTCTCTAAGTATACATAAAAATCAAGACAATGTCACTTCTTTAAAATTTGAGTTACAGTGCAAAAGAATCACAAATCTCAAAAGTATATTAACTGCAAGTTTGCCATTATTCAGGAGTGTCATGACTATTATATGCTGAATACACATTTGTATATAGTTCACAACTGCAAAAAAATAAAATATAATTTTAATTAAAAAGTAAATAAAGAAAAATATAAACTGATGACCACTACACTTTCTTTTGATCAAATATGTCCCCTTCACCCAACCCTTGCTTATATTTCTTAAAAACTAATGGCACCCCTTTTATTAACGATACAGATATTTGTTTTGAATTTTGCACAAAGCTACTCAAGGGCTATCTGTGCTAGCCATTCCTAACTTAAAAGTTAAAGACTAGAGGGAAGGCAGCTAGTCAACATCATCCACTGCCAACTCTTGGGCTACTCTTCTACCAATGAAGAGTGGGATTGACCATCACTTTATAATGCTCCCACAGATGAAAGAACGAACATGTTTGGTGACGGAGATTCTCACCCATGACCTGCAGGTTGCGAGTTGAGCACCATAACCACTAGGCCTCAATATAGATATTCCCCTAAAAATAACTCATGATAACATTCACTAAATAAAATTACCTATCTATATGAAAGAATAACTGTTTTAATCAAAAGTCAAATGAATTTACTGCTGTAATGTATTTTTTGTCAGAAAAAAATGTTGTTATTTTATAATTAACTTTACAGATCCTGGTGCAAGACCTTATATGAATTAAATAATAACTGCAATAAAACATTCAAACTTCAATGCAGATTTTATTTTTTTCCAAACACATTTATAGCATCTTTCTTATCTCAGAATGAAAAATGATGTGACCTCTTTATTCTGCATTTTAAAAATCAAAGAGCAGGAAATGTACAAATACGGTACAGTCCACTTGACTGTTTACCTTTCTTTTGGAATTTGTGATTTTTCTTGTAGGTATAACTTTAATATGCATATATACACGCACACACACTCAAATTTTATGGACCATAATGCAGGTGAAAAAAAGAAGTTCTAACAATATCTTTAAAGTCAGTTTTGATAAAGTTGGCTCTCGTCAACTAAGCCAAGTTTATTTAAAAGATATAAACTTACCTGGAATAATGGAAAAACTTCAACCGATGTTTCACTTTGTAACAAAATGGCCAAGTAATAAAGAACTTGATGCTGAGTAAAAAAAGAAAGATACAAGTTAATCAAATATGCAGGACCAATGAGATAAAGAAGTACATTGTTTCATCTGGACTTCAATACATAGCATACAGTTAAATATTCCTTTATTTATTATATGTGTAGGCTGTACAAACAATTCAATTTTAGTGATCGTGAGACTTCCTCTAATTCTCAAATTCAATGTTTATTTTTTAAGGCTTACATGATATACTTAGCAGCATTTTAAACCTAACCAGTAGTCTCTTACTCAAGTTCATAGTTCTTTGAAAAGAAAAAATAATTAGAGAAATTACATGTCGGTACACTATTGATACTTTTCAAGTTTCAAAATGTGAAAAAAATTAAGTTACTGAAGGTAATTTTTAGTAATTCCAAGTAAAAAGAAATACAGTTGAAGACTAATTCAAGAAGAATTACTGCATAAGAAGAACATTAGCATATACAACTTGCAATTCAGTAACCGCCCAAGTAATAAAACTACTTGCACTTATTACTCCAATAGTAAAACTGTTTTTACTACCAAATTTGTATCTGTGGTGCTTCTTTTAGGCCACTTCTTCTCAAAAAGTAATAACTGGTATTAACTGCACTTGTAATTCATTTGTTTTTAGTTACAGTTACATTTGATGTACTCAAAACATTCTGCACACAAATATAAAATTTCACTAACTCGCACAAATAGAGGAAACTTAGTCAACTATTCATACTGAAATGAAGTCTGTTTAACCTATATAAAAGGTGCTAATAGAAATTCTGTGTAAACATAATTTTATACACTTGTTTAACAGATGCCACCTCTGGCTAATGGCATTTTGAAATGCCTCTTAAACTATAGCACAATCTTCCAAAGCATTAATCACATTCCTTGTGAATCTGCAAGTAATTAGTAAACCTATGCATAAAATAATTTGTTGCTTAAACTAATATGAAAAGCACATATCTAAAAAACAGAACATTCACTTCTAATAATTACTTGTTTCTGTATTTATCTAAAGAAACTTTTTGACTGTAGTTCCATATTCTTTGGTTTCCCTATTAAAGAAAAGAGCAGCATCTAGCTGTATGGGATAAATGATTATGTAAAGATTATACATTTACTGTGATTCTTGGGGAAAAAAATACCACCGTATTATTTAATCATACCGAGTTTAGTTAAGAAATAAAAACTTAATTTTTAAGTACTACTCAATTCACCATAGACAGAAGTATTTATGATAGCTATTAGTATTCTGATGTGTGACTCAGTGAAGATGGCTTCTTAACAGGACTAATGGTTATTAAATCTATAATATTAATAAAGGACTGCTGTCTAAATTAAAAATATGATTCGGAATGCAACTGCATTGTTATATGCATACATTCCAAATTAACAATAATACTGATTAATAAAGTTAGTTTCAGCTCATGTTAAATGGATATGTAACAGAACTAGAAACTTGGTTAACAGTGTAGTTGCAAATGAGTTAGATAATTTTTTTTCCTCACAGACACATTTATGATAAATATAAAATAATTATGTGATTATTTGTAAAACATTGGTTTCAAAGGTGAAGTTGAAATGAATGATTAGAGGTTTTCATATCATGTAGACAAACCATGTTTGATAAAACAACTGCTTCAAAAAAGTTATATATGTACTGAATTCACATTTCTTTTCAATTTTCCTGTAATGTAAAATTGAATGAAAAAAGAATAACATGTGCTTCTAAGTTTGAATT